ATCACTGACGTGTGATTCTTGAAAACAAGATCAGGAATCTAACTGGAGCTCTAGATACCAATTTGTTAATGCGTGAGGCACTTTTAGTAACGAGAGAACGAGAGAAAGAATGAAGAATACAGATTTTTATTATTGAACGTGATTGTTCAATCTGAATTACAAAATATGTCTATTTATATACAACTAACCTGTATACTAAGTAACAAACCATAAATCCTAATTAACTTTAGTCTTAGATTACACAACTTGAATTATATCACAACAAAATAGTATGCAGAATCAATAACATATAAGACTCTCTAAAGGATAGTTATACTCATTGTTTTCTTGGAATGGTTATGTATAATTTTACATAAGGTGACATCAAAATGCAAAGGAGAATCCTTATAATTGGTCAATTTGGTAATCCATATTAAATTACATGGAAACCAAGAATGTAAAAGACATTGTGTATGGTCAAAGGTAGGGAGATAACAATGCTACACGACATTGAGGCAAAAGAAAATTGAACTGTCGAGTAAATAGACAGGGAAAATGACTATATTTATATGGTTTATATAAAATGAAAATCGAGATGAAAATGAACAATCAAAGATTATCTTAGAAAATATGAAGATCGACTACTAAAACATGTTTAATATGATATCATGTTGATACTAAACAATCGAGAGTAAGAAAGAACTCACAAATTTGTTACTGTAGTAAGAAAGAATAGAATTAAGGAAAAATGACACTATCTCTTCTAAGGTCTGATCAAATGACATTGACATCTCTTTTAGTTTAAAGTATGCACTAACCTCACATAAGTGTATATATACCAACGAAGATTTTAGTGACAGATGAAAATTATAGATAAATATTATCTATATCTATAGTTTTTTGCGGTCACTTCAAAGGAGGTTAATATATATTTTAAAATTAGAGAGGATGTTATGTTAGTGCCATTTTTATAAACCTAGTATAATTTTTCATAGAATTAATCGATCAAACTAACTCTATGGCTATATGTGCAAAATGAATTAAAGATTAAGTTACAACTAGCTCAACAACCTTTTGTGATTTTGTTTTTAAAATTACAAGTATTTTCAAATAATATACCAAATAAATAAAAAACTGGAAAAAAAAAATTACAAAAGTAGTTAGGATTATACCTTGTGTCACCAAATGGGGTGGCGACTGCACCCCCAAGAAGAACTGAGTCGCCAATTGAAATGGCGAGTTGGTTTTTTTTTTCCAATTTCGCCAATTGAAATGGCGACTTAGCCCATTTCATTTTTTTTAGGGTTTGCGAAAATTATTAGTTTTTATGTTTTTTGTTTTTAATATTTAATTATGTTTTTTGTTTTTTATTATTTTTTATTTGATAAAGTTTTTATGCAACAATAAATATAATTTTATAAAATATATCATAAATTAAATATATTTACATTGCTTTTATGAAACAATTAAATTATTAATACAATTAAATATAGTTTTCATGAAACAATAAATATAGTTTTATTTACATTGCTTTTATTAAACTATATTTTTATATTTTTTGTTTAATAATTAATATTTTTGTAAATTATATCACAAAAAATTGGATGAAATTATCAAACACTAAATATAATTGTTATGATAAAGTTTTATAAAATAATAAATAATTGTATATAATTTTTAAGGCATAATAAATATAAATAGGTATAAATTTTAAAACATAATTAATATATGATTTACATATATTTTAAAACATAATTTGTATATAATTAAATATATAAATTTAAAATATATAATAGTAGGTCACATTTGAATTATGATATTTTTATAGCTTTTGGTGAAAATTTTTGGTATTTGTTGAAAAAAAGTATATAAATTTTGTAAGGGTATTTAGGACATATCATATGGGGCACGCACTATTTTATTTTTCTATAAATACGACTGCAAACACATATATTTTTCCACAACATTGTATACCAAAAGGCTGAAGTCTTAACAATTTTGAGTGAAGTGGAGTCTAGAATGTCTGCATTTCTAAATCAACGTTCTTCGTCGTCGTCATCAGCATCGGAGAAACCGTTTCCAACATTTCCTCAAATAAATAAAAAAATTCCCTAGTTTATTTTTCAGCAGCAAAGCCTCCGATGAAGGTGCTCCTGTGGAATACGCAGACGTTGGAGCACTTGCATAAGGAACTGAGCCGCTGGCTAGAAGGAGATATTACTCTAGGAGAAAAGATTAGGAAAATTGAGAGGTTGGTCGAGTAGGCTGGGAGAAACAGAGTTACTCGTTAATGGAGAAAAGTGGAAAATGATGTTGGTGTCCTTGTGATGATGTTCACACCAAAGAAGATAACGTTGATGGTCGTGATATCATAGACGCCTTGGTGCATTGTTCTGTTTTATGTCTTTACGTTGTTGTTATTTTCGGAATGTTGTTGTGATATTAAGTTATGTTTGTTTAATTTATGTTGCTTGTTAATTGTAATCGGTTAAGTATGCTTTAAATGGAATGAAATTTGCTATTGATTTAAAGGGACACGATTACATATGAAACTATGATCTGCTGCTTGATCCTACGTTAGGACATTTTGTACGATTGTGTCCTGGTTGCCGACACGAACTACATAATCTTACCATCTTGTTTGCGGTATCCATCTCCGTTCGAATGCGCATGTTGTTAGGGCGACCCTTTTTCTTTCTACACATCATGTCATTATGCCAGACAATTTCAAAAAAATTCTTGTACTTTTTATGATGCACTGTGTAAAAATTTCAAAAAAAATTCCTGTACTTTTTAATGCGCCATCTATATAGTGCATTGTGTAAAAATTCCAAAAACAATTCCTGTACTTTTTATGGCTGCGCCTATCTCCTTCAAGCGTGGGGTTGGTATAGGATGCCAACTCTTGCTCCAGTAAACCGGAATCCGTTTACATTCCCGTACGCCAACAAGTAAGTTTCTTTTCAAGACTATTTAGCAACCAAAGTTTCTTTGTAAGTTAATAATTTGTGAGATGTGTTTTAGATGCTAACATATCTGTGTTTCTTTTTTTTAGGTGGTTTGTTCCAGGGATGAATTATCAGAAATGTCCCAGGAACTCCATTATTGTGTATCGGAACCTCATCGACCACCTTGGGCCAGATGATGTAAGTTATCTACTTTTACTTTGTCTAACTTATATGCATAAACTTGTCTATCTTTGTCTACCTAAATGTATCTACATTTATTGTAGTTTGTCTGGATGCCGTACGAGGGTCTCGACAACCAGCCCAACGCCGATGATGTTGTTGTGTGGACATCAAAAATACCCATCATTAGGTTCACTATGGTGGAGATGCACCAAAGTGACCGGGTGAAGCTACAATTTGGGATACATCAGGATATTCCAGATGCTCCGACGTCATTGGGGTAGTGGCATCAGCAACGGGTGGACTCACAGTGGAATGTCGGTCATTTGAAGGAGTTTGCGAAGGAGATGTGTCAACATTGGAAGAACAGAAGGCAACACATCTTAACCGAACCAATTGTGGAAGGAGCTAGGTCAAGTTATCAATATATGACTTGGTTTAGGTCAATTACAACATCTCAGTCAATTCTGTCTGAGCCAACCTATTTGATTGACCCAAGGCAACGCGCTTCTTCATCAAACACACAACAACAATCCAATGCCCAACATCAGTCTTACCATAACCCATACATGCCACCAAATGCCCAACATCAACAACAACATCCTTACCATGACCCGTACATGCCACCCACCCAGTCACAACATCAACCACCATGCCAATATAGCTCTGATACGACTTTTGACCCTACCCCCTCCACCTATAGCCCAAATAACTCATTTGACCCTACCCCCTCCAACTATCCATTGTTTGACTACCAAACCCCATAAAAACCAACACACCATTTCCAACCCAATTCGATGTACGAATTTGGACAACCATACCGTCCATACTCCATCCAACCTCCCCGACAATCCTATGAAAACATGGGCATTGGGTTTAACTACAGAAGCGCCGTTGATAGTGGACCTCCCGGTTATTGCGGTCAAATGCTTCAAAATTTATCTGATAGGTCGAGGCCGTCCCAACAAAACCATCCTCCACAACTCAACACACAAAGACCGGACACACCACAGCAACCTCGTCGTAACGTGCATCCTCCACAATGTGGCACCGGTGGTCGCTTGGATAAAGTCGGCCATTAGTTTTTTTTCAATTATAATTTTCATTCTATTGTAAATTAATATATTTTAATATTTATTATATTTCTATATTTTTTAAGGTTATTTAAATTTCAATTAATTATGAAAAATATAAACTATAATTTAATATTTATTTCATTTCTTTTTTTCTTCATTATAATTAATTATGAAAAACAAAAAACATAATTTAATATTTATTCCATTTTTTTAATATTATTTAAAATTCAATTAATTATAAAAAATAAAAAATATAAATTAATAATTATTCTATTTTTTTTTTCAATATTTACATACTAATTAATTATGAAAAAAAAACATAATTTAATATTTATTCCATTTCTTATTTTTTAATAAAAATTAATTATTAAAATATAATTTAATATTTTTAATAAAAATATAATTAAAATTAATTTTTAAAAAATAAACATAAACTAAAACATGAAACGAAAACCTTAAAAAAAATAATTCAAATGGACCCCGTCGCCAATTCATTACTTGAAAAAAAATGAAAAAAAAAAGAATAATTTGGTCCAAATCGCCAATTCGTTTGACGACAGAACGTTAATACATAGCCAATTTAAAAAATCTTTTAAAATTAGAATTTATTTGATATTTATATTGAATAAGATAGTTATATTAAAAAAAATTCACCTTTTGTAACTAACTTTTACAATCAAATAAAATACAGGCTACAGTCTACAGACAATATTAAGTAAAATGAGCATAATATTATGCTTCTAGTAAAGCTAGGCTTCTACTAAACTCTAGTTATTCAAATAAGAAGTTAAAATTAAATTTTTTAATAATTTAACATTTAAGGATGAGAAACAGTAACATTATACTCAACAACAAAATGCTCAGGGGTAGAAATGTCATTAACACTATTGGCAATCGCAAACCCTCTTGCAAATCTAAACACACCAGTTCCACCAACAATGGCCATTTCCCTGTTCTGTTCCGAAATAGGATTCCTTCCCAACATACTAAGAGTGCTCCCAGCATATTCCCCTTCCTTAAAAACAAAATTTGTCAACATAAACATCCCAAGATCTTGAAGTGAAGAAAGACCAAACAGCCCTTGAGCTCTCCCGATGTGGTTTGAACTTAACTCTGGTCCTTCGGTCATTGCATCATCCATCATAAAAGTTGAACCGAATCCATTAGGCACGTTTTTGGGTGTATCGATGATTTGTACTATGGTTGGGTTTTTGTTGTTTCGGATGTCGTGGTAGTAGAAGTGGATATGTGTTAGTTTCTCTGTTGGTTGTTGTTCGGAGGGTAATATGATGTTGGATTGCTCTGAGAAAACTCCATTTATGAGTGTGATGGAGAAGAGAAAGATGAAACTATGTGGAAGAGACATCGTTGTTGTATGATATTTTTTTTATCTGTTGAAATACAAAGAGAAAACTATGTTTTATAAGGTTATTTTGGAATTAAATATTTTTGTTGAGTTTTTTATTGCCCACGGACTTTGCGAGGAACTTGCAGGGAAATAAAAAAATCTATTTTTTTAATTTATAAATCTTGATATTTACCTTTATTTGACTGTTCATCAGCGGAATTTCACAATTTATGCACCTCCTCCGATCCAAGCCTTGAACAAACAATGCATGTTTGATTTCATTTATATGTTTTCAAAACCTAAAAGTTGATTTCACGTCTAGGTCAAAAAATTATTTGTGGTCGCCAATTTACGACCACGATATTTTTGATTGTGTCCTTGAAAATTGAAGAACATAATAAAGTTAATTTTTATGATGACTTTAATGAAAATGGTGCATTTGATCACCTTTTGGGTGAATTTGATAAGGAATGAAAAGGTTTCAATAGGAATGGTTCTATGATTTTTTTCTAATTTACATTATCAATCTCTCTAAATATCTTTATTTCGTGTCGATCAAAGATCCGTTGATCCACGACTCTGCGTTGGTCAAAGACCCAATAAAATAAGTCCCACTTATCCAACATGCTCCATCAAGTTTAATGTATAAATACAATCACAAAGGATTTTCAAATACATTATCTCTAATCTCCACTTTGAAGTGTTAACCATGCAGGTACCCCTTTATGAACTGTCATATCGAAGATTAGTAACGCCAATTCAAGATCGGCACTGATTAACAACGTCGATTCAAGATCAACACTTTCGGTTTGAGAAACACTGTGTTCGCAACCTTCGATCCACGATACAAAATCACAGAATCACTAGAGAAGTTTCGATTCGTCGTAGCTTCCGCATTCTCATCCATTTCTGGTTCCGCAACGGAACAATGATGCCGTCTGTAGGAATCGACTTCTGGTTCTTACGATTTCCACAAAGTTAAGTTTGATTATCATATCTAAATATGAAAAAACTTTCAATGAAAAGATCGAGGTTCCATGAAGTCGAGATATCGGTTCTATAGCGGTTGATTTTGTCAAATTCTGATCTGATCCCAACAGACCACTCATCTCGACCTTGCTCCACTAAGATATGACGCCAGCAAACATCCCTATATCGAGGTCCATTTCTATGACATTCTGGGTGACCAGAAATCTCGACCCCTAACCCTCGACAAAATTGATTGATAAACTCCCTCAGATCTAGATTCACATTCACGAAGGCAAAATCGATCAACCAAGCAACATTCTGGGACCCCCTACTCAAGTGGTCTTGTATCTAGCCTGCGCCTAATGTTTCATCATCGTGAGAGCCTCACATCGGATGTCACATCATCTTAACGACCAAAGTCTGGTCCCAAACGATCACCTAAGGTCCGGTAATGCAAAAGGATATCTGAGTTGTGAGATAAGGAGCAGTCTCGAACGTGGGGTAAATCAAGAGATCAAAAGATCGTTCGGGTATCTGGTCGATAGATTAAGTTAGGTCCATAAGGCTCTCCATTGGTTGGAGAAGCTCCAAATGCCTTGACCTTATTCCTAAGAGAAAACTAGGAGGGCAGTCGGGTGTAAGTCAAGAAGAACGACATATGTGTCTGACGAGGCATGTCAGGTATATCTACCCAAAAGATTATGCATGATACAAAGTTACAAGGGCATCGAAGAACTTTCGACAACCACAAGTGTCAATCAGAATCTCCTCGACACTCGATCAGATAGCCGAACATCTGAGACATCCTGAAGGAGATCCGAGTCCAAAGATGTTGATCCAATCCGACCCTAGGAAGCAGATCCATACACATCCATCAGAAATTGGATGTCTCTCAAGCCGAAGACCCAACCCTCCATGGTAGCCGACCATCAAGCCACTCATACAGCATATTCGAGGGCGAGTGATTGGTATACACTTGCGGTCGGAAGCAAGGTTTAATTAATGTATTTGTAAATTATTAATATAATTGTGAAATGAAATACATATATGTATATATTTTTTATTATATCCTTGTTGCTCTAATTTATCTCTTGTCCCCTCTTTAGGGCACTAAAGTATGAATGCACATTCCAGCAAACAGGGGTATAACTATCGCGACGCAAAAAATACCCGAGCGTATCGTATGCTCGATGATATAACAGAGTCGCCACAGAATTTTATTTATTTCAAAAGAAGAAGAAAAATATCGATAAAGCCCAAGGGAAAGAGAAACGAGTAAGGGACTCAGTTATGCGAGAGGAATGTATTAGCACCCCTCACATATGTTGTACTAAATGAGAACCGTTTTGATTGTTCTTTGCTTGGATGAGTGTTACTATCTAAAGGTTACTTGTGAGAAGGAAAAAAAAATAAGTTTTTAAATTAGTGTGCTCGCCAAGGATTCGAACCCTCGTTCCTACATATCCTCATAGTGCAATGAGAAAATCAAAGCTCCTTTGTTCGGAACCAAAAGAGAAAACAAGTGGTGTCATAACCAAGAGCAGAAGTGAAAGTGATAGAAGTGGCGTTCAAACAAAAGAAGTAGAGTTTAAAAGAGATAATATAAGTGGTTTTTTAATCGAGAATTAATGATTAACCAAAAGGAAGGGTATGTTAACTAGGAAGTGGTGATTAACCCTAAGAAAGAGAAGTTGATGTTTTAATTGAGAATTAATGATTAACTAAAAGGAAAGTAGGTGTGGTATTTGGTGATTAACCAAAGAAAGGAGGTGTGATATTTTAACCGAGAATCGATAATTAACCAAAGAAAAGGCATGTTAACCAAGAAGTGGTGATTAACCCAAAGAAAAGAAAAAAGTGGTATTTTAACTAAGAATCAATGATTAACCACAGGAAAAGGAGATATGGTATTTTAACTGAGAATCAGTGATTAACCTAAAGGAAGAATGTCAAGGAGAATTGTGTTTGATCCACAGAGGATAGTGTAGTTGCAATGTTGAATGTGGATTTAGGTTCGGGTGCGTATGTAGAGTTTGTTGTCATCGCACTATTCGCCTAGCGAATAATGCTTCGCACAGTGAACAATGTTGTTCCCAGACTCTCCTAGCGAAGAATCCTTCGTACAACGAAGAAACTCGCCCCAGACTTGCCTAGCGAGTATGCCAGCGAATGTAGCAGAGTTTCGCGAATGCTGATTTTGTGCAGCGATGCCTTGATGTTTTGATGTTGTGATTTCTGTGATGAATTAACATGAGTATGATTATGAATTATATGTAATTAATATGTGATAACATGATGAATTAATATGAGTATGACTGTGAGATCTACGTAATTTGTACATGATTATATGATGATTTTCTATGATGTAATGATGATGAGCTACGATGATATTTCCATGAGTTTTGATGAGCTATGCTGATATGATTTTGATGATGATGATTATGATGAATGATGATGCACCTATGATGTTATTATGAGGATGATTATTGACATGTGCATCATGCATTCATGTGCATCCGGACTTCGGTTCAGGACCTCGATTACTTTAGCTTCAATCCCATTGTGCGGATGTGAAGTGTTTTGATTTGCTCTGGTTCTCTAGTAGAATTGATCCTATTGATGGGGATCTATGGAAGTTTGATGGCCCAGTGTCCATCACGATGTGATGATTGGTACCACATGCATCGAGTCTTGTTGCATTTGCATTTATGAGTGATTTGAAATGATTTATGATGTGGTGGCCTTTGAGGCCTATTGATGAATATGATGATGTTGAATATGACTATGACGCCATTTATATGTTGATTTTCATACATTGATTATTATGAATCATTTTACTCACCCTACCTGTTTGAATGTTACCTCCACGTGGGTAACATGCAAATGACCATGTTTAGCCGTGGATGCCAATGAGGACTTTTGAAGTTTTGAGTTGTTGGCCTTTGGTCAACTTAGAGGGTCTTGCTCTGATAATGTAACATCGGGTTGGGGTCTTTGAGTTGAGCTATGTTTTATTGAGTTATTTTGATTATCTTTCCGCATAAGGAAAACTTTGGATTATGCCTTGGGAGTTCCTCTGCCTTTGAGCAATTTTTGATATCTTTTGGGAAAACCCGTTGTACACGGAGCATTGACTTATTTTGAGTTATTGAGAATGTACGCCCTTTGAGGTGATTTTTATTGAGTTAAATATTTTACTCTGATGACTTTGAATAAATGTGTCTTTTAATTGTGGGGTAGAAAAGGGTGTTACACTAAGCAAGGGTTACTTCCTAGTAAAAATCTGAGTGTGAAGTATGCTATGTTAAATAGGATTGGTGCAATAAACTGGGCACTTACGTATCACAAGTCCAGTGTCTCCACTAACTTGGCTAAGCTGATCAATCAAGTAGGTACCAAGGTAAAGTTGGACTTTTGAGAGTATGCTTTTAATCAGACCTTGAAACATGTTGTCTCATATGCTGTGAAGTTACCTATATCATTCCCCTGCTTGTTGATTTGCATTGATTTAACTCAATATCCATAAATAATTTATTCTAATGAAGCTCCAATTGCAATGGATGGACCTCTGGCCTTTGAAAATAAACTATTTGTGGGTACTCTCGAGTCTAGATAAAATGCTTGATATCGAAATACCAAGGCTTTCCATCTGATGCTTTCTCAATTGCAAACATAAAAGCAGGTCTATCAAGACGCATAATGGTGATAGCAGGAGCTTCATTCCAGAAGTTCACTTTGTACACTGAGGATGACGTAGCCAAGGCATCTGCCATCTAATTCTCAGCCCTTGGGACATGATGGAAATCAATTCTGTCAAAGAATGGCAACAATTTCCTTGCATAATCTTTGTAAGGCACCAGGTTGGCTTGACGAGTTTCCCACTCTCCAATGATTTGGTTAACGACCAGCGTTGAATCGTCGTACACATCCAGATTCTTGATCCTCAGATCAATAGCCTCTTCTAACCCCATAATGCACGCTTCATACTCAGCTTCATTGTTCGTGCAGGCAAATGTCAATCGGGCAGTAAATGGTATGTGCGAACCGTG